GGAAGGGACCGCAGCGCCCTACCAGCCTGAGAACAAGAAAGGAGGTGGGCAGAGCCGGCAGGGGAATAAGGGAGGGTTCCTTTGCAGGACAGCTACTTCCGCAGGAGAGCATGGGCTGGGATGGGGGCAGACCAGACTAGGCAGAGCTACCACACCTGTGGGCCTCATGCAGACCAGATCAGGGAAAAGCCGGGCTGGGCGGATTATTCCTACTGGTGCAAACAAAATTAAAGTGGGCGAGGGTTGTTTGGGCTTAGACGCAGCATCAACTGGAATCTGGGAGTGGGAGAGGCCTGGGAGGGAAATAGTGGGCTCATCCCTCTTGGGTTACCACTTCCACAGGACATAAAACTAAGATAACTAAGATAGCGGCTGGGGTGGAATGGGGTGTGGGACAGACTGGATTACTGCTACACTTACTGGCAAACCAGGGTAGGGGGTGGGCCTGGTGGGGGTTATTGTGGGTCGCTCCAACCTAGGCTGCAGCTCCCACTGGTTTATGTGAGGGCCAAGTATGTGCTGGGCAGAACTAGGCTGGACTGCAACACCCATTGGTTCCAGTGGAAGTCGGGAGTGAAAACAGAACCAACCCAGCAACTGCAACCACCAGCTGATTGGAGCGATGGACGGTGCCAGGCCCTGTACTTGTTAGCACATACAAGAAGTTTCTTTGGAGATCTTCCTAATCTAAATGCTGGACTCAGAACCCTAACCAAGAAAAGAGAGAAGACAGAACAGGTCAACCAACCATCTCAGCTACGATGGCTATGTAAATCAGTTGATTTTTCAAAGCCCTCATAGTGCTTGGAGTGGCAAGATTGACAGCGATTCATAACTGTTGCAATATCAAAACCACTTGAGCAAGAACCTCAGCGCATGCCCTACATCCGGGACCTGGGGAGGGTGGGAAATTGGGTGGGCCTTCTCCCTTAATACCCCCCTTTAAACATGAAGGAAACAATTTGGGAAAAATAATAGTCTTATCCACTTTCCTGTAGCCCTTGAACCTTTTTACCCTAATTAACTATGTAAAGAATGTCAAAATAAAATTTTATAAAAATTAAAAAAAAAAAAAGAAAAAAAAATAAATAAAATAAAATACAAAAAAAAAAGAAACTTCCTTTAAACTATTTTCTTTCCCTAAATATGAATGCCAATATAAGATAGAAATTTTTATAAATTGTTTTTCTTTCCCTAAATATAAGTGCCAGTATAAGATTGAAATTTAAGCCATTTTGAGGGGGTTTGGTTTTGTTTCCTTTTAGAGGATGCCCCACATATTTTGCTTTCTTGTGCTAAGAAACTAAAATGCATCATATCATGTGTTGTAACAGTTCGAGGTGCATGGTAAACAAACTCTTTGTACCTCCATGATTGCCATCTGTTGCAAGATATTATCAAGCCATTTCTTAAGGAAAACATTACTTATACTAGGGCAAACTTTAGGACAAAAGTGGGCACATAACAGGATGTTTGGAAACATAGTGGGCTCAATTGTATTATTGTATACCTTCAACTGTGTGTCATGGCCTTACGTTACTATAGGTGTTTTTATCATAACATGATAGATCAATTTGAGGTGTCATACCAGTTACAGGAATCACTTCACATTAGCAGAAAAACAACAACAACACCCTCCGAAGAATTCTATGAAACATCAGAGAGGTGATTGAGTTCCATACAATGGGTGAGGCAGCAATGAGGTGACCAGAGACATTCTGCCGGGCCTTGCCACGCAGCCAGAAACTCCTCGCAGCCTTGCTAACTGAGGAGCGGTGCTCATGACACACCCATGCCATCCGACCCAACTGCACGGCTCCCCACAAGGCTTATCTGAGTTTTATTTATTTTATTGGTCTTTCAAATTATTGTTAGCTTTATGTTCTCTTTCCATATGAGTCAGTATTTCCTAATTTACCTAGGGCTTAGGATGATTTTTCCAAACAATTTGAGAGACACAGAGCTGCTATTCACTGGCTCACTCTCTGGAGGCCAGGGTGCCTGAGCTGGAACCTCAGTTCAGGCCTTCTTAGTGGGCAGCAAGAACCCGGCCACTTGATGCAGCACCTGCCACCTCCCAGGTTCTGCAGGAGTGGAGAGCTGGAGGGAGGGCTGAGTCCTGCAGGAGCGGAGAGCTGGAGGGAGGGCTGAGTCCTGCACTGAATGCAGGCATTCTTCCTTGAGCTACAGTGTTGTAACTGATGACTTAGCTGCCAGGCCAGACACCAACCCAGGTGTTGTTTTTAAACTGTCATTGGATTATGGTCAGAGCGCAGCCGGTAACTTTTCAACTTTTGGCATCTATTGAGTTTGGCCTTTGTTAACATTTTCTGTATCTAGATGAAGACCTGCTAAAGAAGTTTTTAGGAACATAGTATGAAGAGTACGCATTAACTCTTCAGTAGTTAACACGGTGTACAAATGAACTCAGTTGTTGTTTTGGTAACTCAAATTTTCTGCGTTTTTACTTTTTGTTTTTCCTAAACTTGGGAAGAGCAACTGAGTCTCCTGGGGGTGGGTACAGGTTTTACATTTTTCTCCTTGTCGCGAAGCATGTGGGGTTTATATGTGTTGCTGCATCACCTCCCTGCCTTGCAGGTTTTCCTCGTGGAGGCAGCATCACTGTCAGGCAGCACAGGACTCCCCTGCCTTCACTCTTAAGCTAAGAGTTTTCTTAGCATTAACAGTTTTGCCACTGTTCATGCAGTTTACCTGTTTCTTAGTGTTTTCCATGTCATTTCAGGCATATCTTTACACTTGGTTCTCAATGATTTGAGGTATGTTTCTTGTAAGAAGTTTTTGTGACCTTTGAAACTCCAGCAAAAACTCTGGAAATGTGAAAACTGTGGAATTTGGATTTTGTTCCATGGGCTGTTTATTGGACTTTGTTTTCCTTTCCTCTATTGAATGTACCAAGTTTCTTTTCTTCCTTTTATACCCGTGACTGAGTTTCTTCAGACATATTGCTATTACTTTTTATTCTATTAGTAATCATTTTTTCTTTAAATGAAATGTGATGTTTTTTCTATTAGTTATTGACTACAAATTTTTAAGTTACATCAACATTAATAATTCTCATCATTCAATCTAATTTTTTGCTCACTGTCCTTACCTTTGGGATAAGTCCATTAACATTTTTACCTGCTACCTTTATTTTCTTTTTAAAGATGTATTGATATATTTATTTTATTTGAAATGCAATTACTGAGAGACAGAGGGAAAGAGCAAGATCCTTCATCTGCTAGTACGTTGTCTAAATGGCTGCAGTGGCCAGGGCTGGGTCAGGCCACAGCCTGGAGCCAGGAGCTTTCATCCAGGTCTCTCATGTGAGTGGTGTCGTTAGCTGCTTTCCCAGGCATATTAGCTACCTGCTATTTCTTTTCTCTGAGTTTACCTAGCTGGTTGGTCCAGTATTCCTAGTTTGGATTATTAAATTAGTGAATAATATTAATTGCACAATAATTAGATATCAGATAATGCAATTGATACTTAATACATGCTGAAATAGCTAGGTTGTAGGAGGTCTTTTGTAATCCTTGAATCGGCTTCAGCCACACATTACCACAATCCGTCTGGAGCTGCCATTATGGAATCCAGAGTTGCCCACTGTTCCTCTTTCTCTATCGCCCCTATCTTGACACCCTTTGTTAGCTTTTATACACATTAAGGCCTTACATGCTGCTAATTCCCACAGCCAAGTCCTCTTTTCATAATACATTTGTCACAGAGCCAAAGTACCAGAAGCAGCGAGGTATCTAGGAGGTTCTTTTATTCCACCAAGATAGGAACGGGAGTAGGGGTGGAGGGGGAGAGAGAGAGAAGGGAAATGTCTCCTGGCAGGAGACCACTGCAAGCGGAATGGGAAGGGGGCAAGATGAAGAATGGGGGGAACCGGCCGGAAAGCCACAGCACTTGCAGGGGAGTGAGGAGGAAGTGGGGGAGGAAGTGGAAATGTATGGAGGGCAGCTGTGAGGGATTGTGGATAGGATTGTCAGAGCCCAGGGAATTGGTAGGTGGGCAGGGATTAGGGGGAAGGGCCATGAGGGATTGGTGGGCAACTGGAACAGCACAAAATTTGCAAGCTGTGGGAAAGGGGAAGCAGATATCTTAAATAGTACAAAGTAAAAAAATGGCACTGGCTTTCATGGGTGAAGTTCAGTTGGAGTCTCTCCTCACATCTTGTTCATTTCATTTCTGTTAGGTTTGTGTTTTTCCTTGAATAATTGCTTCAGGCACTATTCCATCAGTGAGTCCCTGCTCATCTAGAGTTCCCTTTTACTGTCATAGAAGATTCTAAGGGTTTCTTCTTCAGTGTAAAGCCCAGATCCAGCTCAACTGTCTTGCCTTACAAAGGAACCCACTGTTACTTATCAGTGTTTCTGAGATCTCTGCTTGGTCCTTGTCATCCAGGAAGCTCAGGAGAGTACGTGGAGGTGTATCTTCTGCTTTGTCCTGTTTTGTTTTATTTTGTTTGGGGGAGGCAGGAGAGGGAAGGGAGAGACAAGGACAGATAGATTTCCTATTTGCTGGTTCACCCTTCAAATGCTCACAAAATCTAGGGCTGGGCCAGGCTGAACTCAGGAGCTGGAAACTCAGGGCAAAAGCTCAATGGCTTGAACCAGTTTTCCCTCAAGTTGTACATTAGCAGGAAGCTGCATTGGAGAGTGGAGCTGGGACTTGAACCTAAGCACTCCTCTGTAGGATTTGAACATCCTGAGAAATTAACAACTTCAGCACATGCCTGCCTCTAGCTACGTCTTTTTGATAAGTCTAGCCTGAGACTGGGCCTCTTCTGCATCTGTTTCTGGATCCTCCAGACTTGAGAGGTCTGTGGTTCTGGAAAATACGTTCTCTTTCAGGGTCCTAGTTTCCACAGGTGAATCAAGACTGCAGGCTGGAAGCTGTCTGTGCACGTGATGTGACTGTACACTGTTAGCTGTATAAGCAAACTACCTGACTCAGGGTAACTGTGTGTATGTGTGACCTGTGCTTTCTTTCAGGTTGGTCCTTCATTTTGGCGGTGGTGGCTTTCTGGCATTTTATAATTGTCAGATGTCTTGGAGCTCTTCCCCAGTGGTCAGGCCCACCTCTGACATCCTGTCTGAAAAGTTCCATCGAGGACAAGCCCTGGAAGCTTTGGGCAAGTCCCAGCCTGTCTGCTACACGCTACTGGACCAGAGATACTTCTCAGGGTTAGGTATGAGCTCTGGAAAAGGGACAGGATGCACAGAATGGGTCCTGGAAGTCATGACACTCACCCCACCCCAGTTGTGCCATTGTTGTTGGCAACAGCTTCTTAACTTGTCACCTGTGTTTCTGTTGTCTGTCCTCCCCTCCCTAATGGAGGTGTTAGGTTAGGCATTTATTTCTTCTTCCCTCCCTCCCTCCTGCTCCCTGTCTCCTCCCTCTTCCTTCCTTCCCTCCCTCCTTTCTTTCTCTCTCTCTCTCTGCTTTCTTTCCTTCCTTCCTTCCACTGCTTTCCCAGGGAGTTGGATTGGAAATGGAGTAGCTAGGATTTGAATCTGCACTTGTATAAGGATGCAGGGTCTTGGGTAGTGGCTTAATCTGGTATGCCCAACACAGCCCCTTTTGTAGTTTCTGACTTTCTTGGTTTTAAAATTCAGTTGTTAGCCACCCCTCCGCACACACTTTTTTATGTGACAAGAGCATGACGGAACCAAGAAAATGTGACACAGGACACCAGAGTTCACTGATTGTTGTTGTTATTGTTGTTTTGTATTTTCAAAAAGACTTACTTATTTTTTTTTTTATTAGAAAGGCAGATTTACAACTGCCGGCTCACTTCCCAAATGGCCACAATGGCTGAAGCTGAACCAATACAAAGCCAGGAGCCTTGAGCTTCTTCTGGGTCTCCCAAGTGGGTGCAGGGTCCCAAGGACTTTGGCCATCCTCTATGTCTTTTCCAGGCAGAGAGCTGGATTCCAAGTGGAGCATCTAGGACATGAACTAGCACCCGTACAGGATACTGGTGCTTGCAGGTAGAAGATTAGCCTGTTGAGTCACCACACCAGCCCCAGGTGTTAACTTGTTAATAGTTGCATGAAAGTATGATGTATTAAAGAGCAGGGGTCATTCTCATGCTCCCTTGTGCCTTCTGCTGCCCTACACACAGCCCAGCACACAGAGGTGCCTGATGAGGCCCTGCTTAGAACAGAAGTCCTGTAGTTCTGTAGTTTGCTAGTGGGTGCTGCTGTTGGATAGATGGAGCTTTCTGGCAGAAGGCACAGGTGTCTCAGGCCGACCTTGTATTTTTGTAAGATTGGAACCTGCACATGTAAGATTGGAGTGAAGGAGCAGCTTCCCCTCTTTGTTCAAATGACCTGTAAGTATTTGGGGGTGGGGGAGAGAACTGAACTATGTGATAAAATAGATAACAGCCACTTAGCTGGATTAGGAGAATATACTATTCTGAAGTGACTGCTGAAGCCATTGGGCAGGATGCTCATGACAAAGTCCCCTCCATATCTACAGTGTGACATTGCTGCAGCAGGCAGAGTTCCTTTATGATGGGCATTCATCAGACACTGGCCTCGTGTCATCATTTACAGCCATAGGAGGCGGGGAGAGGAGGTCCCTGTGTCTGGAGGAGAAAAGAGGGTTCCCAAAGGGGCTTTACGAACCAGTGGCACAGTAGTAGCCATCACAGCAGGCAGTGTTTTTTGTGGAACTGCACTGTGTTGGCACATAGTCTCATGCTCATTACTGTGTGGTAAGATATGGTAGTTGTTGTCCCTTTATTTAGAAAACAGGTAAACAAAAAGGATCCATTACTAGTAAGTCATGCAGATAGAGTATGAATGCAAGTTATCTGCTAATGACTTCGTGTGCAGCCAGCGGTTGACCTGACCATGGGGTTCTTGGTTCAGCTTAGCCCTTCCCTGCGGATGCTTTGAACCCTTGTCCTGGGGCAGGCTTGCTCCTCCCTGAAGCAGCATCTTGTCTCATGATCCTGGAAGCACGGATTGTGACAATGCCTAGTAAAGGCACTGTGGAAACATTTTCGAAGAGCTCCAGATTATAGAAGGAGGGTTCAAGGCTGACTTCATAGAGAATGAGGCAGGAGTAGAAAAATAGGACTGTAATACCTCATAAATCTTTCCACCTTTCGCATGGTAAGAACAGTCCATATATGTGAAGTACTAACATGTCAAGGTACCAGCCCCTGTGCTCAGCCTTTACTGCTCACAGAAACGAGGTAAACCATCCCTGTGTTACAGATGGGGAACAGCTGGGAGCACAAAGTGGCTCAGGGACCTGCCAAGGCCACATGGGTAGGATTTAAATCAGGGGCCAAGGACCTTTTGGATGATCTCTTTGCTATGACAGAGGCTGTCCATGAGTTCTATTTCCATCTCATCCACATAATAACTTTGGAGGCAAGAGTAGTCTAACCCGTTTTACAGACAGAAACTGACAAAGAGATTGCAGATTGGCCTGTGGTTCATGGCATAGCCAAATTCAGGTCTTCCTGCTGTACTTCCCTGTGGCTGTCATGCCACCTTCAGTGCGCCCGGTGCACTTGGTTGGCTCCCATGGTGGGTGTGTTTCTCCTCACCTTACTCTCTGTGCTCTGTTGCAGGGAACATCATCAAGAACGAAGTCCTGTACAGAGCCAGGGTTCACCCCCTGTCCCTCGGGTCGTTCCTGAGTCCTACACACCTAGAAGCCCTTGTGGACCACGTGGTGGAGTTCAGCACAAACTGGCTTCAGGACAAACTGCAGGGCAAGCAGCAGCACACCCAGATCTACCAGAAGGAGCAGTGCCCTGCTGGGCATCCGGTCATGAAGGATGAGTTTGGGCCCCCTGGTGGGTTCCAGAGGCTGACATGGTGGTGCCCACAGTGCCAGCCCCAGTTCCCACCCGAGGGGCCACATCAACCCTAGCTCTGCTAGTCACCTGGAGTCCTCCTTCCTTGAACTTGCTCCCTGGGGGACATGGTGTTTAACCACCAGAAAGGAGGGTACATGGGCAGGGTAGGGCTTGGGCAGAGGGTGAGCAGGGAGCTGTCTGTGTTCTCTATGTTCATCTCACTGGAGGTCTAAGAGTTATCCTAGGGTTAGAGATTTGCTTTTCCTTTTCTAGTTTATTCTTCCAGTGTAATTCTGCTGTTGGGGGAAAAAATGAGAAAAACCGTATCAGTGGATAAGAGTTCCTCCTCCCAGAATGGAAATGGGACTTGAAATGTGAAAGCTCCTATAGTGGCCTCAGGGGTTTTGAGCTTTGTCTGTGTGTGATCCTTGGTTGAAGTCAAGACCTTCCATTTTGAGACGCAAAATGTTCTTCCGTTGTTTCCCTGGAGGGAGTAGCAGGAGCATAGCAACAGTGGTTGGGCCTCTGCCTGGGTCCTCTCTGTTGGAGAGGCCAAAGAGTATGTGTGTAGGTTGCAGGGAGCTGGCCTCCTTCCTGGCATGCACTGGGCCTTCAGGGGCGAACTGCACATTTCCTCCTTACCTAGTGTTAGCTGTGATCATGGAAATGTTGAACACTTCAGGAATCAAACGTTAGAGTTGGCAACAGCTAGGTGAAGAGAAGATGGTGTGAAAATAAAGTTATTTGTTCGCTTCTCATCTCATCATTATTTGGCAGCGAAGGGTCTTATGCTGTAAATAATTGCAGGCTTTCTGAAGGTGTCCTCATAAGGGCTTGCCAGCACACTAGCTGGCTCAGGTGAGCAGAGATGGGCTTTTACTTCTGTCCCACAGCCCCTGGCATAGTCGCTGTGATCCACTCTTATGACCTCTTGCAATCAGTCACCTTCCCAAGACCCCATCTCCAAGGGCCTCATGAATTTTGGGATGGCACACTGAGTACCCAACAGCCCTGTCCTTTCTATTCACTGCTGCATTGCAGCCCCTCCATGGTATACAGCAGCTGCATCACAGGAGCTGCAATGGCCCGGCCCGCAGCACCTGGAACCCCGGCAGTGTGTCCCTCAAGGTAGCCAAGTTTTCTTTGCTCCATCAGCTCTGAGAGTGAGTTATAAGGAACAGTGATCACTCAGAAATCCCGTTTTGCTTTCCTTTGCATTTCCAAGTCTAATTTTTCCTACTCCTTGGAATACATTGTAGACAGTGCCATTTGAAGTTATCAGTTCCCAGGCTTGTGCAACATTTGACTGAAGGTGCAGTGGTGGCAGTGTTCCAATAACTCCACTGTGGAACCAGCATGTGCAGCTACAGTCAAAAATTTACAGCCTTGTATCTAATCCAAATCCTGTTCACTTCCTGCTGGCTTTCCTCATATTTACTTGGTGACCTCTATGTATTGTACACTTAATACTTCAAAAAGCTGTTTTATGTGTTAAAACGTGCCTTACACTATGTACATGGGAACTTCAAAAAGCTCATGGAAAATTGGGTTTAAAAGATAAATTTATTTTGGTGCAGAAGTCTTTGAACTCCTTTAAAGGAGCAGGCTTCAGAAGGTGAAGCTGGTTTCTACAGCAATAGCCTCCCATGTGGGTAGTGGTTCATGTTCTGGCTGCCCCTCTTCTGATCCAGCTTTCTACTAATGCACCTGGGAAAGCAGCAGAAGATGGCCCAAGCTCCTGGGCCTCTGATATCCCCTTGGGAGACCTAGAGGAAGCTCTTAACTCCTTGGCTTCGGCCTGGCCCAGCCATTGTGGCTATCATGGCCATTAAGGGAGAAAACCAGCTGATGGAAGATCTCTCAGTGTCTCTCCTCTCTCTCTAACTTTGCCTTTCAAATAATTGAATGAATATTCTTTATAAAAGATCCTCAAAAAGTGAGTGGAAAATACTCACTATAAAAAGATTACACATGGTGACCAGCGTGGTAGTCTAGTGGCTGAAGTCCTCTCCTTGCACACGCCAGGATCCCATATGGGTGCTGGTTCATATCTCAACAGACCCACTTCCCACCCAGCTCCCTGCTTGTGACCTGGGAAAGCAGTCAAGGACGGCCCAAAGCCTTGGGACCCTGCACCTGCATGGGAGACTCGGAAGATGCTTGCGGCCACTTGGGAAGTGAATCAATGGAGGGAAGATCTTCCTCTCTGTCTTTCCTCTATATATCTGACTTTCCAATAACAATAAAATAAATATTAAAAAATAAGGATTACACATGGTATCATTTTTCCCCCCAATAAATGCTTGCCTTTCATTTCTGTGTTCCATAGGCCTTTTGTGCCACTCTCCTGATCAGACAGGGCTGCCAAAATATAGAGTGTTCTTAGCCAGCAGATACTTTCTCCTAGTTCTGGAGGCTGGCAATCCAAGGTCAAGTTGCCACCAAGATTGGTTTCCCTGAAGTCTCTTCTTGGAGTGTAGATGCCAGCTACTTGGTCTATGCCCATGTGGTCTCTGTGTCCATGCATACTATTGATATCAGTTGGGGGGGGCAGCCTTCATTTAACCTTAGCCTCCTCTTGGAAGGCCTTATTGCCGAACACAGCCACATTAAAATTTAGGACTGCAGCACAGCAGTTTTAGGGGGTCATGCTCAGTCTATTACAGAGTACACAAGGGATATAGAGAACATACAGAACTACACAAAGGTAGTCTTTCTCTTGCCTCCCCTCCCCTTCTTTTAAGGTTAGATTAGTTTGTAAAATCCTACTTCCAGACCAGCTGATATACAAATACTTGAGTAATAAATTATGTGTTTCTGGAAGAATATATATTCACATATACCTATATGAATGTATGCACATATAAAAATATGTAATTTTTCAAGTTGACCTCTAACCTATACAGGATGGTACAAGAGTAAATATGGTAGCATATCCTAGGACAAAGCTGATGGCGAAACAATTTCTTCCGAGCCAATGTCTACAAGGGAGGGGTGTGGGATGGCTCCACAGACACTATGGGGAAGGTACCACAGTTGGCGGAAGTTGGTAGGGACTGGGCATCCATCCCAGTTGGGATTGGTGAAAAAGAAAAATGCTGTTACAGTTAGCTGTCTAGAATGATATGAAGTTCAGTGTGGCAGCAAGATAGAAGAGACATGGAAAATAGGAACCATAGGAATCTATTGGCCAAATGTGGGAACTGAGGGGGAAGGGGAAGGAGCTGATGCTGGCTCAGGTACACTGAAGGGAGTCAGCAGGGTCCTCTCATCCCTCCCTCAGAGGGGGAAGGGGCAGGTGCAGGAGGTCACTCACCAGGTCCTGAGGTGAGCTCGAGAGGTGACTGTTGCACCTGAGTCCAGGGAACTACTGAGGCAGGAAGTGGGCCTGGCTCCCCACACATACAGGCTGGGCTTGGAGGCATAGTCATAGCAAACCAGGTGGAATTGCCAAGAGTATGTCAACCTAGCAATTGAGTGGGCCTAAAGGAAAAGCAAAACCGCTTTTTACTTAAGTGTAGAATAGACTTAGAAATTGGGAACACAGCCTTAGCTCAAAGCAGCATTCTACTAAAAGAAGGGTTTTATAGTGTGGACAAGCAGTCCTTGCATGAACTTAATCCAAATCCAGGTCTTGCATATGCGTGGCATGAACTCAAATACTTGAGCCATCACCGTCGCTTCCCAGGATCCACATAGCAGGAAACAGGGATGAGGAATTTGATGTAGGCAACCCAATTCATGTGTCCAAACACCCATCATGAGTTATTTTTTAAGGGATGGATACTGTATAAGAATGTGTGTATTAGTTGAAGGGAGAAAACCAAGAAGGGGAAAGTGCGAGCATTTACAGTGACACTGTGGTAGCGGGACACAGCTACTAAACATTGATAAGTAAATGTGTGTTATATTAGAATATGATCAACCCGCATGCGTGTGTGGTGATTAGGTTGGGGGATAGGCGGGCTGAAGGTGGGGTGAGAGGGCAGTTGTCAAATAGGGCCTACCGAGTGAGCCCAATGGGAATCACTACAAGGAAAACACTGAGAAAACATGAACAATAGCCAGACACAAAAGCCCGGTGAGCAGAAAGATGGACATCTGGGAGGTAATGGCCTTGGAGACCCCAGAGGTCACTAGAACTCTTACTCCAAGGGAAGCAGAGACTGCGGCGGGGGAGGGGGTAGAAAAGGGCTGACTGGGATGTTAAGCTGTGCTCTGATAGGCCGCAGGGGGCTCTGGGGCTGTGAGCTAAATGCACTTTCTAATCTCTGTGAGCTCTCTCTGCAACAAACACTCCAGGAGGGTGGTTGAGGCTGAGGGCGCTGGGCGAACCGTGAGGTCCCACCAGAGCAGGGGGCGGCCTCGAGCCTGGACGCCGTGCGAAGCGGCAGCTTGGGCTACGGGGCGGCTTTTGCCAACTCGATGACGAACTCGGAGGCGCTAACCCAGCCATCATCTGCAAACAACACCCCACACGCGGGCGGCTCCAGCGATAAGCGCCCCCGGGGTGCTCGCTACCCCGTTGGGTGCTGACGTGCAAAGCAAAACAAAAGCCCGCCCACCAGGAACGCCAATCCTGTTAGCCGCCCTCTTTTGGTCCTCCAATGAGCTGCCAGGGTGTGGTCGTCACGCCAGGCTCTTCCCGCTTGTGGTTGGCCGGTGTCCTCCTGGTGCGAGTCGCCCTGACCAATCAACATCCGTCAGCTCACTCCTTGAGCCCGGGGTTGAGCGGCGTCAGCGCCCCAGGTCCGTTGGGGTGGGCGGGGCAATAGGCGGGACACCGTCGCCCTGGACCCGCCCCCTCCCCCGCTCAAAAGCCGAACCGCTTCGACCCGGCTGTTCCTAGAGGGCGGCGGGTGTGAGCGGTAGATTGCCGGAGAGGCCACCGCGGAGCACGGACCCCGCCTGCCGCGATGGAGTTCTTGAAGTACCTCAGTCACCCGGAGGAGTTCTACAACCTGCTGCGCTTCCGGCTAGGGGGTAGACAGAAGGTGATACCCAAGATGGACCAGGTGGGCCGAGCATCCTAGCATCTCTGCCCGGCGGGAGGCTGCGCGCGGCGGCGGCGGCTTCCGCGACCCGAGGCCTCAGACACCTCCGTTCCCGCGGG